CACAAAAGTCAGTTTGAACATTAGTTTTCGAGTATTTTCGCTTTTTCTTCTCTCGCACGTGTTCGGATTCTATGTCAGGCTGATCCGGAATAATCAAATTGAACTCGTGGGCCACTAACGATTGACAGGCACAACATGGATGTCAAACGATCTGAGAATAGAATCTATTGGTAGAGCAAAAGCCTCATTTATACCATTACTTCCAATGTGTATACCAACTAAATCTACTGAACGCAAATCCTGTGAAAAAGCAGAAAAAACAAATGAAGGCCCACCGCTATCACCTCCAATTGAGTAAAGTGTTGTAATGAACATGTCACTCGTTATACCATCTTTTGTTATGAAAATCCCATTGAGCCCCTTTATAAACCCACAAGAAAGATGGGAAGCGAAACCAACTTTACATATATGAATACCATGGTTATATACTTTAAGATTTCTATTTATGAATAATTCTGGATATTGGCTATAACCTATATTCTTTATTATATTCGCTGCTAGTTTGAAATCAGTGCCCATTACTTGAATTAAACCAAAATCATATGGTTCAATACTAGCAAATACAGATTTCCCAAGAAATTTAAAATTAGTATTTTGTGTCGTATTTTGTGTCGTACTCCATGGTATATGATAAAAATCGGTTGAAATACTACCACTATCAGAATCTATAATACAATGCCCCGCAGTTACAAGGTAATCTATATTTTGTCGATTTTTTACCCATAAGCCAATTGAACATGTAAAATCACAAATATTATCACATAAACCATCACCACTTAAAACCATATTAGATATGTCACGTATGCTGGCTTTATTTTGACGTTTAGAAATATCTGAATGAGATGAACTGTTTACAGTTATTAAAATCGGGTTATATCTCTTGATGGAGTCTTCAAGAGTACTTGTGTTTTCATTAGATGTCAACGTTACAATGTTATTATTAGCCATTATATCAGTGTGAATGAGTACATTTAGTTTATTATATTTATTTCTTCTATATTCTATAGCTAGGTTAACTATCTGATTAAATTGGTTCCTTAATTCATGTAGGGATCTATTTTGTCTTGCTTGTTCAAAAGATAATAACTCTCTATGTCTTCCCATCCGAGATTTTATAATATCAATCTTTCCAGTGTCTATTGTATAGACAGTTACACGTCTCTTTATCATATTTATGTTAGAGCCCCCAAAGCTCGTACTATATCTATCTAGTAATGGTTGTAAGGCCGTATCCGCGATTATTAATCTATTCTCGATTACTAATGAGTCGTATACTTCATCATCACTTATATTCCATAATTGTGCTATAGGGTGTTGTTGGTCTCTCGAATAACTTTGTAATGTAAAAATAAATAACAATAAAGATAAATTTATAGAAATGGAAATATATTTCATATTTCTAAAATTAATATAATAATAGTGATAGAAATAGAGAAAGAGATAAATGAATAAATTTTAAATATTGCGTGTATAAGATAGAAGAGTGTCGCGATCACTTTATATTTTATTTTGTTTCATATGGTTACGGTCTAACTTCTCGAAATACATCTTTCTGAAATACCATTTCACCGAAAAGCAATTAACCGATAAGTTTATTTCATTGACAATTATTTCATTGACAGATCATTTCACAGACTAGTTTTTTTAAAAATTGCACTAACCTCAACTTTAATTCTAAACCTGACATTAACGACACTGGCCAAAATTACTTTTTCGATGAAATAACTGTCAGTGAAATAAACTTGTCGGTAAATTGATATCCGGTGAAATGATACTGACCTATTTCTGTCCTATTAGTAAAATGGATCGTCAATATTATGACTTTGGTGAAATGGTATGTCAGAAAAACGGGCTTCGAGAAAGTGAGCATCAACCGTTTCATAATAAGCTGATCACATATCATATAAAATTGTTGTAAAAAATAATTGATCCGATTTAATTGCGAATAATTGCAATTTTTATTTTTACTATAAGTTTTGCGATAATGAGAACCTAAAAAAACTGATCACATCCAAATGGTTCTGGTTTAACTTCCCGAAATCCATTTTTCTTAAATACCATTTCACCGAAGTCGTAATACCGAAAATCCATTAGGTATTTTACGCGATTTAGAAATATACTAAGAGATTATTCTAAAACCGATTTCTATTTTTAAAAAAAGCATTTTTATTATCAAAAATAATAATCTGTTTTAAAAAAACCTTTAAAATATTCTAATATTCTTGCAAAAGTTATTTTATGAATATGTCGTCTAGGAATCCCTGAGGGTTTAAAGATCTTTCACCAAAAATAGAAATGATCTGCGTTACACGAATTTGAAAAATCCCGATATAAATTGACAAATCATGACTTGCATCTAGCACTAGATACAAGTTTTGATTGGTCAATTGATATTGGATCAGCATCTATTATTCAGTGACAGAATTTTTTAAAAATTGCTCAAATTCTAAATTTGACCCTAACGATAATGACCAGAATTACTTTGTCGATGAAATTACCGTCGGTTAAATAAATTATCAATGAAATAAACTTGTCTGTTAATTGATATTTGGTGAAATGACAAACCTATTTCTGTCCTGTTAGTAAAATGGATTGTCGGTATTACGACTTCGGTGAAATGGTATTTCAGAATAATGGATTTCGGGGCAACAACCCATCCAAATACATAAATACAACTGTAAATGGTTCTTTTTTTTTTAATAATCGGCCGTGATCCGAATTGCAATGCCGAAATAGTTTCTACATGTATATCACTGATGTTTGAAGGTAAAAAAAGGCATCTTCGGCTGTGATTCGGAAAGGTCGGTTACGGTTAGTGTCCAGTGTTACGAAAAATGATATAATCTTTAACATTATACTTTTTATTGTGTAACTTTATAATAGTTTAGCTTTTAGATAATGATCGAGCCTATTTATTATACTTTGACGATTAGCGGAAATTTCATGACCTGATGCATGTTTATAGTAAATTTTATATGAAAAAAGGTCATTGAAAATCTTATTTTTTTTGCATTTGCCCTGAAACCCTATTTTGCATTGTTACTTATTTCACTTTCATATTTAAGTTAGTTTAGAAGGATCTTAGCTCAAAGTTAACGGAACAGTAAACATCACGTGATACACGTGATCGAAATTGTGTATCGGTATTGGTTACCATTAAAATAAAATGGAAAGCATATTTATCTTGTCAAATTATGAAGCCATTGTTTTATTTCAGAATAATAAAAGTAAGTTTTTTAATGTTTATAATGTATAGATGAAAGCAGAAAAGAAGATGCAAAAAAAAAAATTACAAAATCTGATAAACTTGAAAATATAGTTGAGAAATTTATAAACATTGAAGGAGAAAGCAATACACATATGGATTTTAAGTTTGTTGTAAATACTATTCAAACAACTAAAAAATTAGAAGAAT